AAAAAAAAAAAAAAAAAAAAAAAAAATTTGGAATTGAATGGTAATACAAACACAACATATAAAAACTTGAGAGATGTAGCTAAAGCAGTATCTAGAGAAACAGTTACAGCATCAAACTGTTTACACCAGAAAAGAAGAAAGCTTTCAATGAATGACCTCAGCTTACACTTATGAAACCAGGAAAAAAAAGTAAATTAAACCCAAAGCAAGCATAAAGAAGAAAATAACAAAGGTAAGGACTGAAATCAATGAAACTGAAAACAGAAGAAAAGAGAAATACTATGAAACCGAAAGCCAATTATTTGAAAAGATCAATAATACTGATAAATCTTTAGTCAAACTGGCCAAAAGAAAAAAAAAAAAAAAAAGAGGACACCAATTAACCAATATCTAGAATGATCCAGGAGACATTACTACAGATGCTATAGTAATTAAAATGAGTTACTCTTTGACAATAAAAACAGACAATCATTAGCTAAACTAACCAAGACAAAAAGAGAAATCCCAAATACACAAAATAAGAAAAGTGGGAAATACCAACAAATACAAGAGAAAAACTGATGGGAGAAATATTTCATCTCCAGTATCAGTAAAATAGTACACAAGAATAAAGTTAATAAAAATAAAAATCTTTTACAAAGATTACAGAATGTTGATGAGGTTGACAAAACAAGAGAGGATTGGAACACATGGTAAGGACTATAGGAAGACTCGGTATCATAACGGAGTCCATTGTCCCTAACTTAATGTAACCATTAATGGGATCACAATAAGAGTATCAAGTGGGATCACAATAAGAGTATCAACAGATTTTTATTTTTTAAATACAACTGATTCCAATGTAACAGAATCACAGGAAAACTTTTGCATAATCTCAAAGTGGAGAAGGCTTTTGGGTACCATACAAGGAAAGAGCAGTAAAATCAACCAAAGATAAATTCAAACGTGTGCATGGCAAAAACTACCAGTGAACAAACTCAAGAGACAGATGAAAATATATGTGCTACTCATATAGCAAAGCACCAGCAGGCTGTGAGACCTTGGGGAAATCACTTCCCCTTTCTGCGCCTTAGTTTTTCCTTCTGTTGATTATGAGATGAATACACCGGAAGTCACAGGGTAGATGTGAGGATTAGATGAATACTTAACTGAAAACACTGACAGATATAAAGCTCTGCTCACTGGGGACAGCACATGCATCAGAACCTACTGAGGGATCGCCACTCTGCGAGGCCCAGGGTCGCAGCACGCGGCATCCGGGGCGTGGCCAGGTGTGTCCGGCCCCGCCCCCCCTCCCCCCGGGCCTGGTTACGCGCGCGCCCGCCGGGGCTTCCGGGCTCGCTCCCGCGCGGCCCGAGACCCTCGCTATCCGTTGGCGGCGCGTCTCCTCACAAAGGAAAGAAGGCGAGCCCCTGCTGCCCCTCTCCTCGCCGCCGTCCCCGCCCCCGCACGTCTGGCCAGGCAGGCTCCTCCAGCCCGGTTCAGAGAAGGGCGACAGGCAGCCTCGGACGCCGCCCCGCGGGTCACCGTCGCCTGCGAGTAGCCCAAGTTTGGGCTCCCACCCCGCGCGGGCACGAGCCCACCCCTCCTCTCCTTCCGCTCGGCCCCCAGGTCGCGCGGAGCTGCCTGGCAGCCCCCCTCATACCTGGAGGAGCACAGCCTTCACTCGTGGCTCAGTGCCAGGGTAGGTCACGGCGTGGGGCGGCGAAGACCCGCGGAGACGGGGGCTCTGTCACCCACTCGAGGCTGGAGGTGGGGGAAGGGTGGCTACCGGCGCGCTGCAGCACTGCACATGCGCAGATACAGGGGCCGCTCGCCGTTCGCAGGGTCCTCCGAGGGGTGGTCCATCGACCTTCGGGACTACATTTCCCATAATCCTCCCGGTCAGGGCCGTTAGGGACTCTCGGGAAAGTCTACGCCTTCTTTAGAGGGTCGGGTGATCACTGTCCAAGATAATCCTCCGAGTTGGACTGTTCCATCTTTTTAATTTTTTTATTTTTTCTCATTTTCACTTGATTGGACTGTTTATTTCTCCCAGAGTGGGTTGTGATTTACAGTCCCCGACCTCCCTCCCAAAATATAAAAACCTGGCTTTTAGAGATTACACAGGTAAACTATGATAACTGTAT